TGATTTGCAAAGCAAAATTATGTTTGACATAAAATGAAGGTTTCTGACTGTCAGTTATTTTGTGGGATGTCCTACCTAGCCAAAAAAATGTTTAATCAAGATTCTTTACCACGGCTGATTCCCTCTGTCAGAGGATTTAAGTCATACATCCTGACTATGCAATAGTATAGCTTTGGGCTGAAAGATGTAAATGTGTTTAATAAAATCAATTCAAATCCTTTTTGTAGGCCTCAGGATTACTAAAAGCAAGACAAATCCTCCTCTTAAATGACATCTTAAGATCTCAAGCTCTCTGTTACAATATTATGATTAGTATATAAAATTCCATTTCATTCAATAATGAGTAGCTAATGTAGGTTCTTGCCATGATTAGATGCACACAGTAGTACTCAAAGCTGTCATTGTTTTCTTGCTCCTTTGCTTGTAACATTAGCAAGGTTGTTTCTTTATATGCAGCAACAATTATTTGTGGTTTTAGAGCACAAATATCTGTTTCTTGTTGTTGTTAATGAAACTCCAGGTGACCACAAGGTGCTGCAGAGTGACAGCTGTAAAATCCTTGATTTGTTTGTATGCAAAATAGTTTGTATGCAGAAATAGGACACTTAGTGAAAACAGTCTTTTTTCTGATACTTGATGCTAAATACTGAAACCAGTATTTTTAAAAGATACTAGATCTAGACATAAGTCTTTCATCTACTATGTCAAGAAATAAAAAGATGGGATAATTAAAAATAGATTACTGTAATTTTGAAGACCCACTAATAGATATTTCAGTTATGTTTCAAATAAATCTTTTTCTTTTAAATCAAGTGTTAAACAGAAGTGAAAAAAAAAAATTACCTTAGATGCCCTCTGTGTGAAAAGTGCTCGAGTTTTAAACTGGTGTGAAATAAATATATCAAAATGTTTATCCATTGGCAACATTTAGTTATCAAAATAACAGTTAAGATTGTGAATCACTATGTGTTGCGTAAGAATGTATTTAGCCCATATAGCAAAATTATATACTAATAAAAAAATTAGGAATGTATTCCTAATTTTTCTCACTCAAGGCCTTATTAATAAAAAATTCCCCCATCATATTGCACAAATTTTAAAAAGAATCTCTGTAATTACTGTTTTCTGATGTAACAGAAAGAGTTGCCAAAACACTTTCTAGGTTTTAGTAGAAACAACCACAAAGTCTTTGATAAAGTCTGAAGAAGGTGTTTTCAAAGTCAGAAGATACCTACTCCAGTTGCCACACTGTGCCTTTTGCTATTTTGTTAACGCTATGCTCAATCTCTTGTGGCAGAAGAATTGAATGGCCAATTGGATTGTTTAAATGCCACCTAATGGTGTTTCTGTGCTTACAGCATAAACAGTGATGTTATTACTCACGCCTAATAGTATCTATGTCAAGAGCTGCACTGTAAAACTGAAGAAGCAATATAAAATCCTGTCTTGTACCACCTTGCCACTTCCAGGTCATCCTAAACTCTCATTCAGTCTTCCTTTCTTAAGCCAATGAAGAATACTAGATACCTTCATGCTCAGAAATTAATCTGCCTCCCTCTCAGGGGCTACTGTCTCTGAGAGAAGCTCTGTAGTTCTCAAGGTTTGACAATTTCCACAAATTTCAAATGAGGGAGGATCAAGGGCTACCATGGTAATTTTTTTTTCTTATATTTGTGTTTCTATTTGCAAGCACACTGAGTGAAATTCTCTCTCTCATTCAACATCTATATACTGAGAATTATGTTTAAATACCAAAATGTTATTTAATGTTAGCCAGAGTGGAAAAAAGAAAAAATATAAAGATAACCCATTATTGCCTTGAGATCAGGGATATTCTTTTAGCTATGCCACAAGACTCACACAGACACGACTAGTTTTTATGATCCCCTTGGGCAATGCTGAAACTATAAACATGATGGGAATGAAATCTCACCATGTGTATCTTATGGCCCCAAAGAGAGTAACTAGAATTGGTGCTGACACAGCATTTGGCTTTTCTTAAAGGTTTAGCATACTACACAAATCCCTGTGGCTTTTGGATCATTAGAAGAGGCTGTGGTGAGAGGCTGTCCCAAAATACATGGGGCTAGTGGGGTATCTGCTGGTGCCATAAAAAAGCTTGCAAACTGAGGTGCTTTGCTCTGTTTGGATAGAGCAAATAGCCCTAGAAAAATACAGGTGTATGCATATATCTAACTCTTGCTCAGGCAGTAAAGGCAGAGCATGGAACAATAAAATGTATATTAAAGTGATATTAAAAGTGTATCAAAATAATAGAAAATATTAATAGTTAACGACATTATTAACCAGTTAAAATTATTCAATTGATTACTAATTTAATATTAAATGATTATTAATATATACTAATGCATATTAATATATAAAGATATATTAATGCATGACAATGTGAGGTAGTGATTGTTAGATAGATATGTGTGTGTACATATATCTATTTGTGTACATACACATATGTATGTATCTGTGTAAATATTGCTTAAATTTTATGAGATCCGTTTACATTGACACACATTGTGAATCCCATAGAGAACTTCACTTTCCTCCCTGCTAACTGATGTAAGAATGGAAAAATGTCACTGCAATGAAAAGGTACTGAGGGATTCAACCAAATCAAGAGTATGAAAGACAGACCCTGAAATATAGATGTAGTCATATATTAGAACTTCTCTCTTATTCTTTATATTTAAAATTTCTAGTATAAGAAATACTTTGTTACAAAAGAAAGGTATTCCATGAATAGAATAATTTTCAGAAAACATAGATTAAAAAATATTAAACTCATTATAAGAATTATTTTCAGACAGTTCATTTCTACTTGAAAATATTTCCACTGAACAATTCTGACTGGATTTTCTTTCCTGTTCAGATGTACACTACATGAGGAATTGCTTTTTCTCATCAGTGACGTTTGTCTACCTGCTAGGAAATCTAATTCATTTGAGAAATGCTCAGCAAAATTTGTCACTCAAACATTGTAATTACAAAGAAAGCAATTTATACACTAACAGACATAGACTTCGAAAAGTTTGCCACATTCAATACAGGCATTTCTTACCTTTCTGCTTTCCTATATGAGGATTTCTTTATTTCAACCTTTCCTGTGAAAAATGTCTCCTATTTTTGACATTTCTCATTTCTTTCAGTTTCTTTGTTTACGTGCTATTTTATCTTTGCTATGAAATTTTGTTACTTGGGTTGCTTGAGCATTCAAGTAATAAGACTCCCACTGTTTTTTTCCTAATGACTTCTACAATTCATGGGTTTAGGCAATATCAACCATGTCTCAGTTAAATATAAAAGTGAATTCTTACTTGTCTCTGCTCCCTTTGTTTAATAATAAAAGTCTAAATTCAATGCAGCCCTAAATCATGAGTTCAGGTTTTGTTCCTAATCAGTTTCCTTGCCATCCATACCAGAAAATTCCTGTCAGATTGAATTATCATTAGATTGAAGGTCAGCTGGAGTCATTACTTTATGTTTATATTATCATGTGTGCTGCTTAGGGTTACTTAGTCTCCAGCAGTTCCTCAGGCTTCAGTACATCCCACTTGACTCAATTTGTGTCTCTTGATAGCTGTGAAATATTCTTAAGGATTGGTAATTAAAGTTTGTTTCTAAATTACTGATAATATTCTATATAAACAAAATATATGATAATTCAGAGAATGAGTGTACAATTGTGTACCTAATTCAAATGCTCTAAGATATAGCTAAGAAGAATTCAACAAAGTGTTTATGAAAACTGCCGAGCACATATGTAATTTTCTATTGAACATGCACAATGACCCCATTCACATGTACAACTCTATCTATTTTTCAAAAAAAAGGTATGCAGCATTATTAATATTTGGAACCATACAAAAAATGCCTGAAAACAGTGCTTGTGGAGATCTGAGGTACCTTCCCTCTTTCCTGCAAAGGTTTCCCTACTGAGATCCTATATGTGATCAGTGTCTCTGAAGGTAAAAAGTGTCTAGAAAGATAGATGGCCAACTGTGAATTTCCTGAAAATGAAGGAATCCATAAGGAAGTGTAGAGTATGCTACTTCCAGTACAGCACATACCAGCTCATATTGTAGTTGTCATGAACCAGAATGTAAAGGCTACAATGTAGGTACAGGCAAGGGTGAGAATTTCAGAGAAGAAATTCTTGTGTCACAGTATTGAAAGTATCTAAAGTGTCCTAACTTTCAGTTGAGACAGGCCATCTTTTAGAATCAGCCTCCTCTCTAATGGGTGTAGATATTCATTATGCACCTTGTCCATTCTGAGGATTGAATAGGGCTTGTTTAAAGTCTTATTTCTGTATAATTGCTGTCAATATTTATTAAACCTCATTGCAAAAACAGAGCAGAGCAGGGAAATCAGCCTCACTGGTGACAGCCTGAATTAAATAGAAAGAGGTAGTAGCCAGCTTTATGCTATATTTCTCATTGAAGACTAGGTTTTAATTTAAATGCTGCTGAACAATTTGGATGACCTCTAAAACAATGGCAAGATAGCTGCTGAAAAATGAGATATGTTCCACAATTCATATTTTTTATTATATTACCCTAATTTGAAGCTCATAGTTCAGCTTCTACCCCTTCCCTCTGAGAGCTCATGGAATCAGACTGTACTGATAAAAAGACAAAATGGCCATTAAAGAGAAGAACGAGATTTTTTTCTGGAAAGCATTTCTGCAGTCATTGTCTACTGCAGCCACAGTAGACAGGTTTATGCTTTTAGGAAGCAGTGCCCTGCCTCCAGAGCTCTTATCTCAGGACAATCACAAGAAGCAAAATTGATTTATGTGACTTTTTTTACCTTTTGCCTCTTCACACTTGCACTGAGGGCTTCTATCTTATCTTCCTCCTTTCTAAGACTATTCCCCTGAGCAAGTTTTATCTTAGATGATGCTTCTGTAAAAATGCTAGGGTGTACCATTTATGAAACAGCTGTTATTTCCTCAAGTTCTCTCAGCTCATGCTACTTCATCCTACCTCAATTGATTCACAATGACATATGGAGAGGGGCAGCTGTGGTCTTTAAAAATCCCTTCTTTTGAATCCAGTACTGGCTACAGTTTCAACTGTTTCTACTGTAACTTTTTAAACCACCCTAACTGTTTTCAACAGTTGTTCAAAATTTCATTGTGTTTCTATAGCTTCAAGTTTCCAATGATATTCAAATATTTTGTCTAGAAATATTTTAACAATTTTGGTCATTTTGCTTTAAAATTATATAGGTCTCATAGTAGCTCCTCTTTCGGAAAGCTCTTGAGTTCCTGAATCTTTTCAAGTGTCATTAATTGATAAACTTTTGCTAGAAATCTGGTAACAACAAATCCTCTGTGACAGCAAATATACTGCTGAAAATGTCCTGTTCTATCTCTCAAGAGTATGCTCTATTATGTCCATGAAATAGTAAATGTCAGTTGTATTTTTTGGGGAAACTGGGCTGAGAAGCCTTAGGAGACTTTTATCCAGCACACAAAATGAGTCTGTCCTAATTTTAGGTCTAGAAGCAAACATGCATATCTTAGTTTTCTGAATTAAACCTGAGTTATAGTCCATCTGTTCTGAGAAGAGTGCCTTAGAAAGCCATGTCAGTGAGAACTTTTGAACTCAAGAGATACATAGATGGTCATCAAGTCTCAGCTAAGATACAAATCCAGAGTTTTTATTGCAAATTTTGCTGCATAGGAAAAAGAGAAAATGCATGCATTTTGGGATCATAAGGGAAGTTTATAAATCTGGAGGCTAGAGAAGAACAGGTTTGATTTTCACATATTTTAGATGCACACTACAATCACAGGGAGACAACTGAAGTAGAATTGGATTAGGTGATTACAGAAAGCTATTAATCTATCTATCTATCTATCTATCTATCTATCTGTCTGTCTGTCTGTCTGTCTGTATGTTAAATTTATTTATTTATTAGGGATAAATATTTCAAAGACAAGGTTGGAATGAACTTCAGGATGTCATTCAGTTCACCCATTTTGAACAATGCAAAATACATAAAACTGCACTACACAATGAGCAGTCAAGTTTATTCTTAAAGGTAGTTAGCAGAGGAAATTTCACATCCTTTCTAATCTGTCTTGCAAGGTTTTCATCTACTGCTTCACTGGAATCAAAAATAAGGAAATAATGGGATTTTGAGAATGCAGGATGGGGATTCTTTCCATATCGCTATGTCAGTTAAATTTCATGCATAATCACTAAAGAAAGTTATCCTTCTTGTGGATTAATTAAATAACCCTTAAGGATGAAGTACCATGAGGGACAAGGTCATGGTGAAAACTGTAATTATTTCCTGGAGCTATTGATTTTATGCTAATGATTTTAAATGATGCATATAACTTGCATCTAATAATCTTACCTCAAATGGCAGGTGCTATTTTGGGCTTTCTGTGTCACTTGGGAGAGGGCTTGTTTGGACATATTTCATCCCTTGTGTCTACATTGGTTAATGCAAAGGTTGATGTGTGGGAAAGGCAGCTCAATATCACATCAAAGAAAAAGTTTTTACTTTTTGTTAGGGCAGCTAAAGATGGAGAGAAGAGAAACTAAAATAAGTGAAAAGAAAGAGCTAATGTGTAAAACAAGCCAGAACAGGATATCTCTGCCTACCCACTGAGTATGAAAGGGTTTTGAAATCAAGATTCCTGTGGATGAAAACAGTTTCTCCTAGAAAATTCCCAAGACAAGAGTTCATCCCTGAAGTATCATATATCACAATTTCTTTCTTCCTTGTGTAGTTTTTAAAGGCCTAGCCATGGAAAAATATATTTATCTAAATGTTACAGTATATTTTATCTTCTTGATGCTTATCTTCATGACTTAAAAACTATCAGCTATGCATATATTCTCAAAATAATTGTGTATTTCACAGACTTTAAGGTTCTTGAAGAAGGCAAGAAATCTGTGTGTTGTGAATGCATTGATTTTGTGTCCCTCAGTCTTTCCAGTTATCCATAATTTAGATGACCACCATGCTGATATTATAAATTATTTTACACTCTTATTGTTGATCAGGAAAAACTATTAATCTGGGTATTCTGCTTTATGGAAGCAACTTTTTTTTTTTTTTTTTCCCAGAAGAGGTCCATGAGATTCTCTGGAAGTGTTTCATATTATTATAGTTTGTGTACATAACAGATCACATCTAGATTTTCATATAATCTAGATCTGCATACTAAACTCCTTTTGTTATGTCATCTTTTAATGTCCCCTGGTAATAACCACTTATGTGGAATCTTCAATAAGGAAGAAAAACCCCAACAATAAAAGAAACCCATAAAAAAAGGGATCTTAATTTCATGTTTACCAACCTGCACCAAAATACTACAGGATGAGCAGTCTACCAATATCCAATCATTTACTGTCTGTCCTGGCTAACTGAGGAGGTTCCCCACCTGTCTGCAAATCTGATGCCCATCTACAAGCAGAGCTGGGAGAAGGATCCGGGGAGCTCCAGGCCTGTAACCTCACCTTGGTGCCCAGGAAGGTTAAGGTTACTATCATTATTGTCATCAGTTGGCACAAGCAGAACAACCAGGGGATCAGGCCCACTCAGCATGGATTTGTGAAAGGCAGGTCCTGCTTGGCCAACCTGCTCTCCTTCTATGACAAGGATCCAGAAAACACAGGCTATTGCCATATTTACAGTAGATACTATGCCTTCCTTAGCAGTGGGTGAAAGAATTAGCTAGACCAATGGACTGGAACTTTCTCACTTTCTGAGAGATTTGACTTGGCTGCAAAACAGATGGAACAGGCTGGTAAGCAGTAGCAAGGACAAATTTTGTTCAGTTATGGCTCATGTTGTGCCTATTGGAAGGACTAATACAGATTTTGGTCACTGTATCTGTCAGTCTCACACTTCCCACTGGTTCACAGTCAAAAGAAAGGAAGTAAGTAAAAGAAGCAATGTTAAAGAAAACATTTTGGAAAATAATGAGAATGAGAGAAGAAGGCACTTGAAATAGTGAGAATAATTTCAATACACTGATTACTCACCTGACAGGGTTTTATTCACAAGATGATCTTCACATACAGATGCTACAGCTCAAATTATTTTTAGTATCATTTGGGCTGTACGTGTTTTTTTTCTTTCCTGCACTGCCCACATTTCAGTGTCTGTGATCTCTCTTTAATCACATAGCACTTAGTGTCTCCTCTGCCATTCTCACTAATCATCACTTCTGATTATTAATGGCATTGGGTCTCCCTGTGATTTGACCTTTGTGGCCAGCTACTTTTAATTTGGTCTGCAGCAACTGCAAAAATTTTAGAGGCCAATTACAGAGCAGAATGATGCTAGGCAATAGGCCTAGAGGTGTATTATTTTTTTTATTTTAAAAATAATTTTACTATTATTATTTCTTAAAACTATAGGATACACTAAGATTTCTAGTTTGGGAAATCATTTAGAGGTATTACCACTCCAATTTGATTTAATCTGCTATGAGAATGAAAAAAAACCATCCAAACCCAAAAGATTTTCTATTAATCTTTTAAAACTGATGATTGGAAATCCAACAGGCTGAATTGCAATTCTAGACATGTATTAGAGACCTTTTATGATAATTTATTTACATGAGTAATACTGTTGTGGTGTTTATGTGAATAAGTGTTAATCAGGGAGCAAAAAATGTTTTGAAAGAAACTGTTCATAAACAATCATGAGGCTTTCATTACTAGATTAGATTGCTACTAATCTTTGTTGTATAGTGTCTGCTAAAACCCAAGAAGATAATCTTAGGAAACAACATGGCGTGAATAACATATTAGTTCTCATGGAAGTTTAGCAATTTCTAGTATATAACTGTTATTTAGTATCTTAAATAGAATGGCAATGCTGTATTGTAATTTCAGACAAGGACAGAGACTGCACAAATTTACTTTAGTTCTACTCCTGGTTTTTCTGAATGTCCTGCATTAGTAAATATATGTGTAGTAAAATACATGTAATGAAGAAAAAGGCAGATCACCTTTACTAAGCACGAGTGCATATGTATGTCAGTGATTCTTTATTCCACTGTAAACTTGCATCCCAAGTAGAACTGCATCAACAACATAAGGATTAATTTAGTATTGAAAGACAGAGATAAGGAATAATTTAGTGCTGAAAGAATATCATTCTAAATGATAGACCTTTCTTCAGTCATGCCTCCAACAGCTTTGCTTGGAAAGAAACATAACTATTCTTTTCTTGTTTTAAAAGTGTTTGACTTCCTTTTTGCTTCACAAGTGCAATTCCTAGCAGTCTACTCCCCTGTATACACACACACACACACACACACACACACACACACACACACACACACAGAGAGAGTCTTCCTTTTTATGCTGAAGAAGGTACTGAAATGAAAATGCTGAAATATTTTCTGTTTATTGTTTCATAGATATTTCTGTGTTATGGCACTGTCAAGGTGAGGCCAAGCTGAAGGTCTTATAACCACCACCACTACAACTAGTTTGTGAAATGCTACCAGTTCTTTCCTTTCTTTCAATGAAAATTATCTTTGATCCATCCTTTCTAATTCTTGTTAGCTGTTACCACTACTAGTCAAGGGAATTACTGGCCTTCTCTAAGAAACAGCAGCCATGTGTCAAGGCATAATGACAACTGATTCTAAAGAGCGATAGTCAGCTGTGGAGGGAATGCAGAACCAGCAATAATAGGTAAGGTTGCAGGATGAAGCCAAGATGCAGTAAGATGATTTTTACCATGTTTTCTGGGAGGTGGTTCTAATAGAGACTATGAAAATTCACTGTTAATGTGCTCATGAAAAAAATGTCATTGCCTATGCAACGCATGCCTGAAGCTGTAATTCTGAGTAAAATTCCAAATAAATTCTGAGTAATTCTAAGTGAAATAAACAATCTCTTAGACAGCAAGTCAATAACATCATGTGTCACTTGTGTTTAATTTTTATCAGTCTTTGCAAAAAACACTGTAAATGAGATGAAATAATGATCTGAAAATCTGATTTCCTCTTACCAAGGGAAAAAAGTGTCTTCCACATAGGAGACAAGAGTAAATCTACAGCTATTA